GACGGTATACCTCAGTGACTGGAGTGTGTAGACGGTATACCTCAGTGACTGGGGTGTGTAGACGGTATACCACAGTGACTGGAGTGTGTAGACGGTATACCAAAGTGACTGGAGTGTGTAGACAGTATACCTCAGTGACTGGAGTGTGTAGACGGTATACCTCAGTGACTGGAGTGTGTAGACGGTATACCTCAGTGACTGGGGTGTGTAGACGGTATACCACAGTGACTGGAGTGTGTAGACGGTATACCAAAGTGACTGGAGTGTGTAGACAGTATACCTCAGTGACTGGAGTGTGTAGACGGTATACCTCAGTGACTGGAGTGTGTAGACGGTATACCTCAGTGACTGGGGTGTGTAGACGGTATACCACAGTGACTGGAGTGTGTAGACGGTATACCAAAGTGACTGGAGTGTGTAGACAGTATACCTCAGTGACTGGAGTGTGTAGACGGTATACCTCAGTGACTGGAGTGTGTAGACGGTATACCTCAGTGACTGGGGTGTGTAGACGGTATACCTCAGTGACTGGAGTGTGTAGACGGTATACCACAGTGACTGGAGTGTGTAGACGGTATACCTCAGTGACTGGAGTGTGTAGACGGTATACCTCAGTGACTGGAGTGTGTAGACGGTATACCTCAGTGACTGGAGTGTGTAGACGGTATACCACAGTGACTGGAGTGTGTAGACGGTATACCTCAGTGACTGGAGTGTGTAGACGGTATACCTCAGTGACTGGAGTGTGTAGACGGTATACCTCAGTGACTGGGGTGTGTAGACGGTATACCACAGTGACTGGAGTGTGTAGACGGTATACCACAGTGACTGGAGTGTGTAGACAGTATACCTCAGTGACTGGAGTGTGTAGACGGTATACCTCAGTGACTGGAGTGTGTAGACGGTATACCTCAGTGACTGGGGTGTGTAGACGGTATACCACAGTGACTGGAGTGTGTAGACGGTATACCAAAGTGACTGGAGTGTGTAGACAGTATACCTCAGTGACTGGAGTGTGTAGACGGTATACCTCAGTGACTGGAGTGTGTAGACGGTATACCTCAGTGACTGGGGTGTGTAGACGGTATACCACAGTGACTGGAGTGTGTAGACGGTATACCAAAGTGACTGGAGTGTGTAGACAGTATACCTCAGTGACTGGAGTGTGTAGACGGTATACCTCAGTGACTGGAGTGTGTAGACGGTATACCTCAGTGACTGGGGTGTGTAGACGGTATACCACAGTGACTGGAGTGTGTAGACGGTATACCAAAGTGACTGGAGTGTGTAGACAGTATACCTCAGTGACTGGAGTGTGTAGACGGTATACCTCAGTGACTGGAGTGTGTAGACGGTATACCTCAGTGACTGGGGTGTGTAGACGGTATACCCCAGTGACTTGCGTGTATAGACGGTATATCTCAGTGACTGGAGTGTGTAGACGGTATACCTCAGTGACTGGGGTGTGTAGACGGTATACCTCAGTGACTGGAGTGTGTAGACGGTATACCACAGTGACTGGAGTGTGTAGACGGTATACCTCAGTGACTGGAGTGTGTAGACGGTATACCTCAGTGACTGGAGTGTGTAGACGGTATACCTCAGTGACTGGGGTGTGTAGACGGTATACCCCAGTGACTTGCGTGTATAGACGGTATATCTCAGTGACTGGAGTGTGTAGACGGTATACCTCAGTGACTGGGGTGTGTAGACGGTATACCTCAGTGACTGGAGTGTGTAGACGGTATACCACAGTGACTGGAGTGTGTAGACGGTATACCTCAGTGACTGGAGTGTGTAGACGGTATACCTCAGTGACTGGAGTGTGTAGACGGTATACCTCAGTGACTGGGGTGTGTAGACGGTATACCCCAGTGACTTGCGTGTATAGACGGTATATCTCAGTGACTGGAGTGTGTAGACGGTATACCTCAGTGACTGGGGTGTGTAGACGGTATACCACAGTGACTGGAGTGTGTAGACGGTATACCACAGTGACTGGAGTGTGTAGACAGTATACCTCAGTGACTGGAGTGTGTAGACGGTATACCTCAGTGACTGGAGTGTGTAGACGGTATACCTCAGTGACTGGGGTGTGTAGACGGTATACCCCAGTGACTTGCGTGTATAGACGGTATATCTCAGTGACTGGAGTGTGTAGACGGTATACCTCAGTGACTGGGGTGTGTAGACGGTATACCACAGTGACTGGAGTGTGTAGACGGTATACCACAGTGACTGGAGTGTGTAGACAGTATACCTCAGTGACTGGAGTGTGTAGACGGTATACCTCAGTGACTGGAGTGTGTAGACGGTATACCTCAGTGACTGGGGTGTGTAGACGGTATACCACAGTGACTGGAGTGTGTAGACGGTATACCACAGTGACTGGAGTGTGTAGACAGTATACCTCAGTGACTGGAGTGTGTAGACGGTATACCTCAGTGACTGGAGTGTGTAGACGGTATACCTCAGTGACTGGGGTGTGTAAACGGTATACCCCAGTGACTTGCGTGTATAGACGGTATATCTCAGTGACTGGAGTGTGTAGACGGTATACCTCAGTGACTGGGGTGTGTAGACGGTATACCACAGTGACTGGAGTGTGTAGACGGTATACCAAAGTGACTGGAGTGTGTAGACAGTATACCTCAGTGACTGGAGTGTGTAGACGGTATACCTCAGTGACTGGAGTGGGTAGACGGTATACCTCAGTGTCTGGAGTGTGTAGACGGTATACCACAGTGACTGGGGTGTGTTTACGGTATACCTCAGTGACGGGGGTGTGTAGACGGTATTCCTCAGTGACTGGAGTGTTTAGACTTTATCCCTCAGTGGCTGGGGGGTGTAAACGGTATACCTCAGTTACTGGAGTGTGTAGACGTTATTCCTCAGTGACTGGGGTGTGTAAACGGTATACCCCAGTGACTGGGGTGTGTAGACGGTATACCTCATTGACTGGAGTGTTTGGACAGTATATCCCAGTGACTGGAGTGTGTAGACGGTATACCTCAGTGACTGGAGTGTGTAGACGGTATTCCTCAGTGACTGGGGTGTGTAGACGGTATAGCTCAGTGACTGGGGTGTGTAAACGGTATACGCCAGTGACTTGCGTGCGTAGACGGTATATCTCAGTGACTGGGGTGTGGAGACGGTATACCACAGTGATTGGAGTGTGTAAGACGGTATACCACAGTGACTGGAGTGTGTAGACAGTATACCTCAGTGACTGGAGTGTGTAGACGGTATTCCTCAGTGACTGGAGTGTGTAGACAGTATATCCCAGTGACTGGAGTGTGTAGACGGTATACCCCAGTGACTTGAGTGTATAGACGGTATACCTCAGTGTACTATTTATCCTATTGTATGGTGATTGCAAAACCTGCCAATCGAAATGTGTTAAAACTGAACTCACTAAAATAACGGTTTGGGTGAAGGGTGGTGATGGAGGTCGTCGGCTTAAATTTTTCTGACCCATACTCATAATATGATCAAAATTGCAACGCGTTATACGCCAAGAGTCTTCTGATAATCAAGGCTTACGATTCTTAAAATGTATTAACTCTGTTGTTACAAAGTTGTATTTTCCCTGAATAAGAGCAACATATTTTTGTTTATATGTCTTTGTTTGAGAGGGCACAGGTGTGAAATGTGGCCTTTTGTTCAATGTTTTTTCTTGTTACATTATATCATTGATACAAATGTTGAAGTACAGGTATCCATGTACAAATAGCAAAATAATCTATATTTATATATATTACATATCATATGATATACATTGTATTGATTTTGTTTTGGAAGATTTATGTTGGCTTTTTTTCCATTTTGTTACATAGACAGAACAGTAAGATCTATTTACATACTGACAAGCACAGTTTCTAGGACAAGTCCATACTTCAAGTATTGTTTATTTTCTCCAAAACATCGTTATTTTAATTTTTTGGGTAGACAAGAAAGTAAAATATTTTTTCCTTAAAATCCATTAAATTCCATTGCATGTGTTGGTGAATCTTACAAATAGTATTGATTAGATAGTGGTACATTGTAATTTAAAATATTTATCAGATCTGGGCAAATAACATTAAATCAACATTTCTATGAACAATAAATTGTATTATGAAACAATTAGGGTATGTTAAATTTTACTGGGTATGTGGTTCAAAGGTTAAGAACTTATCATTTAATTTTTATGATTTTTATGGGAAAAACAGAATTTTCCCTCTTCTTCTCAGCAAAATAGATTTGTTTAATTTCAATTTTTATTACATGTTTTCTACAATAAAACATTAATATTAAAGTTTATTTTATATTTTATCTTGACAAAATGGCATTACATTAAAATGAGACCATTAAACGATTCCTTTCCCTGCTAAGGTAGCTTTCTTTTACTCTTTATTATCTTTTTATCTCTATCACATGTACATAGCCATGGGTATGTATTTATAAGACAGACATGGTGTAAAATTGAAATACCCTATTCCATTATCTACCATCCAGATTTTTCAAATTCGCAGATGTATAGCTACACATCATGTGGTGATTAATTACCTGACTAGGTTTCCGAAAACCGAGAGAAATCATGTGAGGAATTAGTTTTCTGAACAAGACTTTAATACTTCTTCTGAAAAAAAGACAATACTACAGTCAAAGGAACTCTCTGCTCATGTAATGTGAAAATGACACTGTATGAATTCCAAGATGTACAGATTATGTCGATTGTATAACATGTCGTTTTAAGCATGACATGAATCAGGTATGTGACAAATGCAAACATCACTGAGTCACAGATATGTGACTTGTAGACATATTAAGAACAATACTAAAATGATATTCTGTAAGAATATATGTATTTTTTGTGCCATCACTTTGAATCCCATAACAGGTATCTTTTTGTTTACAGCTTTGATAAAAATATCACTGATGCATATCTATTGAACCTGAAACAATAGAGTCCTTGACACAGAGATATAAAGGTAGTACTACACTGTACATTTCAGTACCTTATTGATTAGGCGGTGTGCAAACAGCCATGGCCGGCTCTCCCTCTGTCGATGGAAGTTGAGGGTTACTAGGGCATCCACACCTATAGAGGCGTAGTTGTTCATTATCACCTGTAATGACAAAGAACACCTGTACACCAGCCTGATTGATAGGTTGATTGATAGGGTTTACGTCTGCTTCCCTACTGAGTACGGTTATCCAGCAGATACACCTGCTTAACAAAATGGTCTTATATACAGTAAATTAATGGGGCAAAAGCATTGTGGTTGAAAGTATTTTGTTTTTGATTTCATAAAAAACCAGATACAGGGATCTTGGTGTCTACCATAGAAACATCATAGAATTTACTGGTAGGTACAGGGATCTTGGTGCTACCATTGAAACATCATACAATTTACTGGTAGGTACAGGGATGTTGGTGTCTACCATAGAAACACCATAAAATTTACTGGTAGGTATAGGGATCTTGGTGACTACCATAGAAACATCACAGAATTTACTGGTATGTACAAGGATCTTGGTGTCTACCATAGAAACATCATAGAATTTACTGGTAGGGACAGGGATCTTGGTGTCTACCATTGAAACACCATAGAATTTACTGGTAGGTACAGGGATCTTGGTGTCTCCCATTGAAACATCATAGAATTTACTGGTAGGTACAGGGATCTTGGTGCTACCATTGAAACATCATAGAATTTACTGGTAGGTACAGGGATGTTGGTGTCTACCATAGAAACACCATAAAATTTACTGGTAGGTACAGGGATCTTGGTGTCTACCATAGAAACACCATAGAATTTACTGGTAGGTACAGGGATCTTGGTGTCTACCATAGAAACATCATAGAATTTACTGGTAGGTACAGGGATCTTGGTGTCTACCATAGAAACATCATAGAATTTACTGGTAGGTACAGGGATCTTGGTGTCTACCATAGAAACATCATAGAATTTACTGGTAGGTACAGGGATCTTGGTGTCTACCATAGAAACATCATAGAATTTACTGGTAGGTACAGGGATCTTGGTGTCTACCATAGAAACATCATAGAATTTACTGGTAGGTACAGGGATCTTGGTGTCTACCATAGAAACATCATAGAATTTACTGGTAGGTACAGGGATCTTGGTGTCTACCATAGAAACATCATAGAATTTACTGGTAGGTACAGGGATCTTGGTGTCTACCATAGAAACATCATAGAATTTACTGGTAGGTACAGGGATCTTGGTGTCTACCATAGAAACATCATAGAATTTACTGGTAGGTACAGGGATCTTGGTGTCTACCATAGAAACATCATAGAATTTACTGGTAGGTACAGGGATCTTGGTGTCTACCATAGAAACATCATAGAATTTACTGGTAGGTACAGGGATCTTGGTGTCTACCATAGAAACATCATAGAATTTACTGGTACAATGTAGGTACAAGGATCTTGGTGTCTACCATAGAAACATCACAGAATTTACTGGTAGGTACAGGGATCTTGGTGTCTACCATTGAAACATCATAGAATTTACTGGTACAATGTAGGTACAAGGATCTTGGTGTCTACCACAGAAACATCATAGAATTTACTGGTAGGTACAGGGATATTGGTGTCTACCATTGAAACATCATAGAATTTACTGGTACAATGTAGGTACAAGGATCTTGGGTGTCTACCATAGAAACATCATAGAATTTACTGGTACAATGTAGGTACAAGGATCTTGGGTGTCTACCATAGAAACATCATAGAATTTCCTGGTACAATGTAGGTACAAGGATCTTGGTGTCTACCACAGAAACATCATAGAATTTACTGGTAGGTACAGGGGTATTGGGGTCTACCATTGAAACATCATAGAATTTACTGGTAGGTACAGGGATCTTGGTGTCTAACATTGAAACATCATAGAATTTACTGGTACAATGTAGGTACAAGTATCTTTGTGTCTTCCATAGAAACATCATAGAATTTACTGGTAGGTACAGGGATCTTGGTGTCCACCATAGAAACACCATAAAATTTACTGGTACAATGTAGGTACAAGGATCTTGGTGTCTACCATAGAAACATCATAGAATTTACTGGTACAATGTAGGTCCAAGTATCTTTGTGTCTTCCATAGAAACATCATAGAATTTACTGGTAGGTATAGGGATCAAGGTGTCTACCTTAGAAACATCATAGAATTTACTGGTAGGTACAGGGATCATGGTGTCTACCATAGAAACATCATAGAATTTACCGGTACAATGTAGGAACAATGATCTTGGTGTCTACCATAGAAACATCACAGAATTTACTGGTAGGTATAGGGATCTTGGGTTCTACCATAGAAACATCATAGAATTTACTGGTAGGTATAGGGATCAAGGTGTCTACCTTAGAAACATCATAGAATTTACTGGTAGGTACAGGGATCTTGGTGTCCACCATAGAAACACCATAAAATTTACAGGTACAATGTAGGTACAAGGATCTTGGTGTCTACCATAGAAACATCACAGAATTTACTGGTACAATGTAGGTACAAGGATCTTTGTGTCTACCATAGAAACACCATAGAATTTACTGGTAGGTACAGGGATCTTGGTGTCCACCATAGAAACACCATAAAATTTACTGGTACAATGTAGGTACAAGGATCTTGGGTGTCTACCATAGAAACATCATAGAATTTACTGGTAGGTACAGGGATCATGGTGTCTACCATAGAAACATCATAGAATTTACCGGTACAATGTAGGAACAATGATCTTGGTGTCTACCATAGAAACATCACAGAATTTACTGGTAGGTATAGGGATCTTGGGTTCTACCATAGAAACATCATAGAATTTACTGGTAGGTACAGGGATCTTGGAGTCTACCATAGAAACATCATAGAATTTACTGGTAGGTATAGGGATCTTGGTGTCTACCATAGAAACATCATAGAATTTACTGGTAGGTACAGGGATGTTGGTGTCTACCATAGAAACATCATAGAATTTACTGGTACAATGTAGGTACAGGGATGTTGGTGTCTACCATAGAAACATCATAGAATTTACTGGTACAATGTAGGTACAGGGATCTTGGTGTCTACCATAGAAACATCATAGAATTTACTGGTAGGTACAGGGATGTTGGTGTCTACCATAGAAACATCATAGAATTTACTGGTACAATGTAGGTACAGGGATGTTGGTGTCTACCATAGAAACATCATAGAATTTACTGGTACAATGTAGGTACAGGGATCTTGGTGTCTACCATAGAAACATCATAGAATTTACTGGTAGGTACAGGGATGTTGGTGTCTACCATAGAAACATCATAGAATTTACTGGTACAATGTAGGTACAGGGATGTTGGTGTCTACCATAGAAACATCATAGAATTTACTGGTACAATGTAGGTACAGGGATCTTGGTGTCTACCATAGAAACATCATAGAATTTACTGGTAGGTACAGGGATGTTGGTGTCTACCATAGAAACATCATAGAATTTACTGGTACAATGTAGGTACAGGGATGTTGGTGTCTACCATAGAAACATCATAGAATTTACTGGTACAATGTAGGTACAGGGATCTTGGTGTCTACCATAGAAACATCATAGAATTTCTAGATGTTCCAATCCATCTCAAATTGGAGACAAAGCCAGGAAATCAAGTTTCATAGTGATCCCTTAAGTCCTTCAAATATTGGTAACAAACTTTACAACAATATCCATACAAAATCTGAAATGGAGGAGTTGCCACATGTTTTTCAGCCTTCTTCAAATCAGAAGAAAGCAAAACTAGAACACTGACAGGTCAGTAAGGGTCCCGTCTTGTGGCAATATATCCCCCATAATCATCAAGAAGCAATCTGCCCATATAGCTGAGCTTGACGTTTGACATTTGGACTTCAAAAAGAATCACAAGGAAGCAAAATATACGTTTTACATGTACTATGATGTGAGTCTTGTTTCCTTCCACCTCCATATTTGCTGGGCTAACAGAAATGTAAAAACCGGTGCAATACTCATTTGTTAGCTTTAATTTGTTTTATTTCACCTTATATACCTCCTACATCAAGAGCCAGGGTCAAAGTCAGAGGTCCAATTTGTCTTTGACCTTTGGACCGCAATGACCTTGACCATTAACCTAGTGACCCTGAACTTTGGTCAGTTGACTTATTCTTTAATTCCGACCAACTTTGCTTCTTGATATCATAATAAAATGTTCATCAGTGAAAAATACAAAACTTGACCTTGACCCTTTGGACCCCGTAACCTGGACCTAAGGTCAGTTGACTCTGTGTTAAGTTCTGAACAACATTGCTTCATAATGTTATAACAAAATGTTCATCAGGGAAAAGGTACAAAATTTAACCTTGACCTTTGACCCAATGACCTTGACCTTTGGTCAGTTGACTCCTTGTTTAATTCTGATCAACTTTGCTTCATCATGTCATAACAAAATGTTCATCAGTGAAAAGATGCAAAATTTGACCTTGACCTTTGAATCTAATGACCTTGACCTTTGACCTCGACTTTTTACCTCAGTGTGTCTCTTTGTTTAATTCCGAACAACTTTGCTTCATAATGTCATAGCGAAATGTTCACCAGTGAAAAGCTACAAAATTTGACCTTGACCCCTGACCCGATGACCTTGACCTTTGGTCAGTTGACTCCTTGTTTAATTCTGATCAACTTTGCCTCATAATGTCATAACAAAATGTTCATCAGTGAAAAGATGCAAATTTGACCTTGACCTTTGAATCTAATGACCTTGACCTTTGACCTCGATTTTTTTTTTACCACAGTGTGTCTCTTTGTTTAATTCCGAACAACTTTGCTTCATAATGTCATAGCGAAATGTTCACCAGTGAAAATATGTAAAATTTGACCTTGACCTTTGAACCTAATGACCTTGACCTTTGACCTTGATTTTTTACCTCAATGTGTATTTTTGTGAACTGAATATTTTGACCAAGTTTTATGTACATCGGTCAATAAATACCAAAGTAATCAGCCAGGAACAGAATTTGTGGACGGACAGACAGACAGACAGACAGACAGAGTGATTACTATAGGTCACCTGTATCTCCGATACGGGGCCCTAACTTAGGATTAGTACCATGTTTTGTCATGATCCCTTCAGTAGTTCCTGAGAAATAGCAGTAACAAACTTAATTGCAAAATCCAAGATGGTTGTCTGGTGGCCATTTTGTTTTATAATAATCTTATATCATGATTCTTCATGATCCTTTTAATTACATACATAAAGTGTCAACCAGTGTTGAACACAAGATTTTCTTGCTAGTCCGCATGACTTGTTGAATAATTTATTTTCTAGTCCTACATCAATAGTCGCTGATTTCCTGAAGGTAACATGACCTGTGTAAGGACCCTCCAATTGCATTATAGATATGGGGAGGTTCAAGGACATTTTGACATGTAACAGGCTATATTTCTGCACTTTAAGCATTTTTTGGAAAGGATTTTGTTTTAACAAGGTTTCTTCAAGACTAAACGACTATAATATTTAGATTAGGAGATTCATTAACTCTTCCTTTTGCTTTTCCAATCCATCTTAAATTGGAGAATTCATAACTACAGACCAAAATAATTTTGCATACTGAGTTTCATCCTAATCTCTTCAGTACTTGTTTACAGACAGACTACCTGAGCGACAGACAGACACAGGCCTACAGAAGGAACATTTTCAGGTCAGGGGAGGCAACTGTCATATAAACTACAAACTAGTAGATACCTTTTTTTTCTTCATCACAATACTCCTCATGCTAATATTCACTTTCCACCTGAAAAAATCCCACAAGATTTGATACAGATATAAACCAATGACACTCTACCGTATAACAGAGATAAACAAGAATAACATCAACATGATGTAAGGATGAATTTAAACACTCAGCTTCTTTATGTTAAGTAACTTTCTTTTCCAGTCGCATTGAAAGAATTTCGGACAATTACTTCCAGATTATTCAGTAGAATATCACAACCCATATCTTGGTTGTACATTACATTACTAGTTTTAGTGAGACTTTTTGTTCATGTTATTTTTCTATCAGGTTTATTTGTGTTTTTTGGATGACTTGACGCTGTAGTATAATGAAGGTTATAATTTACTAAACATTCATTAAGTAATTGCTAAAATGATGTTTCACAAAAAAGTGGAAAAGACAGTATTCAGGAAACATACAGTATTGTTATAAACAAGAGTAGAAGTACCTGTCCAGACTGGCAGGTTGTGCTTCACTGATCTTCTCCAGGATATCTGGAATGTTGACATCTCCATGAGTGTAGCCTTCGCCCCACCCTAGGACACGTGACATATCATTGCCTGTCCCCAGGGGCAGAATACATACATCTGGTGGTTTCTTGAATAAAAAACAATAAAAGAAAATGATAATTAAAAGAAAAGAAGCATCTTAGAATGCTTTACTGTTAATACTCCTATCAGAATAATGACAAGTGTGGTCATATTGCTTTTAATTTTGTTATACTAATGTAGCTTGATAACGTATCAATTTTTTCTTAATTTTTCTCTCTAGAGAACAGCATCTCCCCAGCTATTTTTGGCCTTATTTTTTCAAATATATATATGATAATTGTGTATATATAACAAGAGGCCCAATGGGCCTGCATCGCTCACCTGTTATTAATCTAACACTTGTAATTTTAAGATTTCATAAGAACCTTTTAAAAGATTTAAACATATGACGCCTCTGACCTTGATTGTCGAACAAGGACATTAGGTTGAAAGTGGATCAAGGTCATTAATTTGAACTAACATGGTAGTTCTTCATCCCAGTATGCTACAGGCCCAATTTCAGTACCCTGGCCCTTTTGCTAATTGAAAAGAAGTCGCTTGAAGATTTTACGACATTTGACCCCTGTGACCTTGAAAGTTGGTCAAGGTCATTCAGTTGAACAAACTTGATAGTCCTTCATCCCAGCATGCTACAGGCCCAATATCAGTACCCTGGGCCTTTTGGTTATTGAGAAGAAGT